ACACACAGCACACGTATATATGGTATATAAATATCGTTATCGTGACGCCATTTCTTCGTATCTGTAACGATTTTCTTTTTCGACGAATTTTGCGAATCCGTCACCCGTAATTGAAATTGGAGAGCAACGGGGCGGAAAGACGATGTTTTCGGGGGAAACGGCAATAGGGGAGAAGATGAGTACGTGATCGGCTTCGAGCGTGATATTCTTCTCCGTAGGTAACTACCTCATAGAAATCGTGTCATTGATATGGATGAGGCGTCCTCTTCGCCTCGTCGTGATGCTCCGTTTAAAAGATAAGTCAAATAGATTCGCAACTCGTCGAAGGGTACCGCTTTTCACTCAGCTTGCCGGCTAAGGTTTCTTTGTTATGTCGATCGATATCTCAGAAAGTCAATCTAGTAAGAGATAGTATTTATTGCTACCTTCAACCTCTCACGTTAAATTGAAAGAATAATACGCTACTGTAATTTCTCCTCTGTTTCCTCGTTTTGGGTCCAAAAATATTCTTAAATAGAAAATATTCTGCAGAAAAAACTTTTCTTAACTGAATGCGAATTGAAACGCCATATAAGAATCCTACTGTAGTTATTAGTGCCCAATTTTTGTATATTAACAAATAATATTGAATTCCGTTACCGAATGCACCAAGATTGACACAAAGATAGCGAGGTATTGACATCATGTCATCCTTAACAAAGCCTACCACCAACTTGGAGTAATGCTCTTGACAATATTGTCAAATAACTATCAGGAGAAAAGTAGAAAAATATGCGACATTATCGTTAGATGTCATCTCACTATTTATGTCCCCATCGGTCTAGCATTGGAAACTTGTGTCGCGTATAAATAATAATAGAATATAATAACGGGGCCTCATCAACTACTATTTCGCAGCAAAAAAGCAGCTATTTCAAGTCGCTCGTTAGGGGAAGAATATGAAATTACTCGTTTTATGTGCTAAGGAGAAAGAGCGTTGGAGCAGCTGCACTGGTAAATTGCGAAAGTTCTCAATCTGTTAGCATTCGCCGAAAATTAAAACGTTGGCCAAAGCCCCGGGTGTGGCACTTGATACAAAAACTTTCGTGCGGAGACACACGCGTGCACGGCACGGCGCAGCCCAGCGCAGCGCAACGGCCACCGGCGCTTACTCCCCGTGCGCGTCAAAATGCCATTGCCTCACCTTTGTTGTTGCGTTGCATTTGCGTGCGAGCAATCTACGCACGGTCACGGCCGACGTATGAAATATTCAGAGTGGCCCGAACGTTAACCGGTGACCACTTTGGTTTGCCTCCTTTGTGCGTCCGTTCATGAGGGATGCATCTGCATGCAGATCGATCCCGCATCTAGAAACCGGCTTATCCGCTTTCGCATAGAGATAATACGCCCCCGTTCGTTTGGTATTCTAAAAAGCGGCCGACCCTTTGCGTCTCCTTGTCATGCAATATTCAAAATTTCACGAGAGCGACGTGAAACAGAGAACGAGCCGTGGATTCGCGTAGACGTCGTTCGGTTACATATAGAGACTCCCGGCGTATAGATAATCGTAAGGATTGCACTGTGTCAGTGGTTTGGAAACTGTTGGCTTTTTGCGGCGGAACTTTCGATTGATGACGTCACCGGCGAGAAAATACACGAGAAAAATTCTTGCAAAATATATTGAAGTAAAAAATACATTGATAAAATAACACCTGAAATCAATTGAGCATACGTGTAAAATAGTCCGAACGCAGTTTCTTTTTACTCTAACAGTCAATAAATTATCAAATTAGTCAAATTGATGTGACAGGCAACCTATCTTTTTAATCTACTTTTTCTTGTAATTCTGTTGCGTTCATTTTACAGTTATTTATTGATTATTAAAACAAAAAGGATTTTACACATCTGCCCGATCAATTGCCAGTGTCAGTTTGTGGATACATCCTTTTATTTTTACGTGTTTCGTTTTTGACGTCATGTATCAGGATGGCCGCGACGAGGAGTCAGGAGCCTTAAAAAAGAATGTCACGAATCTATTCTTCATTGATTCTGGGCACGTTATTATGGAACTCTTAGGATTTGATTCCGATCCGTACATATTCTGTTATTTCCCATTCTTATTGTCTTTTCTAGAGAAAACGGAATAATTCCAATCGTAATCTCTTTCAAGGAATTCCATAATATGTCCCCCGATCTTGACTTATAATGCGTATATTTTTGGACATACAATATTTGAGCTTCTTGAAAACGATCGAAGTTGTAATTTTTACATAAATTATGAGAAACTAGAAGAGATGATATTGTCCACACTGTCGTTCGGTTACACATTCTTCGCGTCCTTATAAAATGGCTCTCGATTATCTATGCAAATGCAACGATATATCTTGTAAATTGCAATGATGTCTACAAGAATTGATTTCGCGTCTCGCTGCTGACATTCACCCGACATAATTCACCAGGAGGCCATCATCGACCGGATAATTAAATGACCTTGCGAAAGGATCGGATGAAATTCGATTATGCAAATGTGACCGAAGTAGTCGGCAGTCTTTCAGCGCGATCAATGTTCTTTGATCGCTCGTAATAGATTCCGAGGGTGACGTCCATTTTTTCCTTGGATTCGGGATTAACGAAATCTTTTCGCGGCCTTATGCTAATAATAGCGCAAATATTTTCGGACTATTTCACCCGGGCGATGTATTAATCGAAATATTATACGATTAGCAGTTGCAACGAGGATCGTGATACGAGGGGTTTCTTCTTTCTCTTTTTTTTTTATTTTTCTTTCATCAGACACTCTGTGCTCGGTTGAGACGCGACGCGCAAAAGAGACGCGTGTTCCGCTGCTGAATATTTTTCCTCGCCTTATCTACGGAGCTCCAGCAGCCGGCGGCTGTTATTACAGCCGCTCCTAACATTCGCTCCCTCATCATTAGGAATTCCATAACGAAAGTCTGCGGCGAAAAGGGCATTACGATGTATTGATGATTGGCTCTATCTTGTTTTGTCGGGAGAAATATACGACCCGTTGTGGGATTATCGTTCCGTTCGAGATAACAATGAGTGAACCCAAAAGGATCGCGGTTGTTGAAGTGAACCCAGTAAACACTAACTGAGAGTAACATTACGTCAATGTTAGAATTTTCTACTCAATAATATTAAGTCTAATATAACAAATTTTGAACATAACATCCAAACAGCACAAATCCCTGAGTGACATTCTAAAAATCACCTAAAATATATTGGATACTGGATTTCAGACGTAAGATATCTTTTAAATATTTATGCTGTAGGAAAGATTTATGCTGTCGGGGCTAGATGTCCTATATTTCAGAATTTTGAAGTGACAATTTTTCAGACGAATAATCTCTTTTAAAGTGAATCAGTGAAAAATCATTGAAAGCAGTGAATATACACTGATTTGCAGTTATAAGTATAGCACTGAAACTGTTCAGTGCTATAATTATAACCGATATTAGTGATTATTCACTGATTTACTTTAAGATTATTATGACTGACTATACAAACATGATAGAGGAAGTCTTCTTCTGTCAGTTAGTGTTTGCTAAGATCTTGCGCTGACTATATATTTTATTTTATAATATAAAATACAAACATATACAGCAACGTACAGCTCATCTCGCTCTGATATTCAGTTTCCCATTAGCGTAGAGTGTAAAAAAAGAGAAGGTCACATATAAAATATATGTCCTGATTAATAGTTTCGGGGTCTTCGCGAGAGGTCTTCACAGTCTCCCTGTCGGCCTTTAATTATGGGACAACTTTAGGAGAACTTTACATCGGCCGTTCATATTAACGAAAAATTGCTTTTATTGTCCGAAACAACATACAAAAAAAAAAAACATTTCAAGAAACTCTAACTAGTGACACGTCGCTTAATTTTATTCATTCACGGTAGAGAATACTAATACAAAATTTCTCTTTCTCTCTCTCTTTCTCTTTCGAAAAGCTTGAAAATTTGCTTTTGCTAATTTAAATTAATTTTTTCTATTTTTTGACTGTAATATTATCCCGCTTTTAATGAAACTTAGGATAAAGTATCTATGTTAAAAGCCATTTCGCGACTCTATATCCGATGTTTCTTTCGTGACAGAAAAGATCTACCTCCGTCCCGGCGAAAATACGTCACGTCTCCTACTCTATTCCGAAAATTTCCCGCTTGGAACGCTTAAAGGAAAGTTGTTCGTTACAAGATAATCTCGCGGATAGCCATGGGGGTAGCACACTCGTCTCTGCGGGGTGGCGGAAAACGTACAATGTTTCACGGTTAAATGGTTCGATTGTACTTTCGGGAAAGGGGCGCGATGTTCGCCTCGGTGAATTATTAAATCCTCCCCACTGATTTATATTTTCTTACTTTCCGTCTTTCCTGCTCTCCCCGGTGCTTGCCTGTTCCGGAGCCAGAGATTCGCAGGAGAGATTTGATTGCGAGATCGGGTCTGATTTGATTACCCGCTTCGCGAAGTGCGGCCTGGTTGGCTCGCGCGCTTTCACTGCAGAACTGTATAGCTTTATCTCCAAAACTGAATATTTAAAGCCGGCTGATAACATTACTACTCTCGGCAGTGTGCTTTTAAGAGCATACACAAAGAGTGACCGGCACGCGGATAGCGCGCCGTTTCGTAAATCGCGACAAATTTCAAATCATATTTCACAAAGTACTTCTCGCTGCGTGAAAACAATTTTCTCTCGTCGACGTTCAGCGAGAACAATGAAAAAGAACGAGATGAAACGGGACAAAAAGGGGATAAGCGATTTTACACGTCTGCATCGCATCGCTAAAGCGGCCTAAATGTTTGCTCGATCGGAAGCAACAACCCTAGAGCATTCCTGGCGAAGCAAGAAAGGGTTGTTCTCTCCGATGGAGCTACAAATCCCAATGCCTCTCTCATCATTTCCTCTCTCCGCCCTCTCTCCTTGCCTTCCGTCCCCCTTATCCTCTATTACCGTTGTCCTCTCATCTCGCTCGTTCTTCTCTTCCCGCCTCGTTCTCTCTTTACCTTTTAATTAACTAACTGCGCCTGTGTAGTAACTAAAGAGGATCTCCGACTCCGGAGGTTTCCACGAGCGATCGAATAATCCATTTCCTCGTGAAAGACTAAATAAGATTATCGAGTCACGTTCCAGTAACAGCGCTAAAAGATTGCGCCTGCTAAATCCTTTTGAGTTTCGCGTTCGATGGACGATTCAGCGTTATTGGACGGCTTGTAAACGAGTCTCGAAAGCAAAGCGCGTTCTTAGATCGTGTTTTTAAATTTTCATCAAGGCTCTTTTCTTACTATACATTATAGAATACTAGAACATCATTGTATGCAGTTTAGCTAGTAATTCTATAAAATAATGTTTGAAACATTTGAGTTTCGCGTTCGATGGACGATTCAGCGTAATTGGACGGCTTGTAAACGAGTCTCGAAAGCAAAGCGCGTTCTTAGATCGTGTTTTTAAATTTTCATCAAGGCTCTTTTCTTACTATACATTATAGAATACTAGAACATCATTGTATGCAGTTTAGCTAGTAATTCTATAAAATAATGTTTGAAACATTTGAGTTTCGCGTTCGATGGACGATTCAGCGTAATTGGACGGCTTGTAAACGAGTCTCGAAAGCAAAGCGCGTTCTTAGATCGTGTTTTTAAATTTTCATCAAGGCTCTTTTCTTACTATACATTATAGAATACTAGAACATCATTGTATGCAGTTTAGCTAGTAATTCTATAAAATAATGTTTGAAACATTTGAGTTTCGCGTTCGATGGACGATTCAGCGTAATTGGACGGCTTGTAAACGAGTCTCGAAAGCAAAGCGCGTTCTTAGATCGTGTTTTTAAATTTTCATCAAGGCTCTTTTCTTACTATACATTATAGAATACTAGAACATCATTGTACGCAGTTTAGCTAGTAATTCTATAAAATAATGTTTGAAACATTTGCTAAGATATTTTAATTACTAGACAAATGTCTAATGGAAGAATATATACACACACACACACTATATATATATATATATATACACATACATACATAAACACACACACACACACACGTAGTATTGTTCAAAATTGATTAAAATTATGTAAATTCCTTTCGGAATCTGTATCAGAGAGGCTTTTAACGTGGACAACAGTTGGCAAGCCGAAAACTTCTAAACGTCCCCGAAGGATTAATGTTGAGGACAATGAAGACTGACTCTGTCTCCCCGTTTCCATAAAGTGACACCTCGTCCGTCCGAACTAATTACTTTCGGCTTAAAATCCCTAATTTGTTGCTGAAAGGCCGTTGTCGGGAAAGACCGTCCCGCCTCGATGAAATCTTCCTTTGTCCGGTGCGCGCTGCGTTTGAGATGATAATTGATTCTGGATCCATTAAGAGCCGTAAGAAAAAGGCATGTATAAGAACTGAGATTTCAAGAACCAACGGAAAGAATAAATTGAAATATTACGCTGTATTTAGAATTGCAAACACACAATCGGAATAAACTGACGCGAACAAGTTTCTTGTTAATTAGATACAGTTACACAAAGAGAATTTTACAGTACAAAATAATAGAATGAAATGATTGTTTTTTATAATTCTATATAAGGTAGAGTCAGATGTTATAACAAAACCAACGCTTGACTGACCCGTTAACCGTCAAAGGTAAAAACTCCATTACCTAAAGGAAAGAAAGCAAACTGAGCGATTGCTTTTCTCAGCAGTGAAATAATACTTTTCTGTGTGTAAGTACGCGCATTTCTCGCTCGTACTTTCCCCGAAAAGTTTCGCACAGAGATTTTCGTACAGTCCATCGTACAATTCTGCAAAATATCATGTGTAACGTTTGATTACATACGCTGTGCGTAACAGAGACCCAAGTGAGCGGGCTTTGAAATTGGTTCTGCATTACATAAGTACCTTCCGCTTCCATTAGACGTCATTAGTGTGCGAGCTAGTCGGTTCGACCGGGAGCTATCGAATTTCCCGAGTACCCTCTCAATAAGGCGGCGCTAACAGCTGACAGCCTCTTCAGCGAATTGCGCTTTGACCGAGCTAAATATATCGCGCGCGATAAATATACGTTGGAGCAGAGTATTCAACCGTGGCTGGCATGAATCTTGATAAAACTCGTCGGTATCTCCGACAGCCTGGAAATTAGCCTGCCGCCAGCGGACTCCTGGCACGTTGCGAAGAAGGAGCGCCCGGCGTTGATATTGAATTGTTTCTGCACCCTTTCCCGTACTGCGTAACATCGGGGCGCCCTAGGAGGCAACAGATGTACCTGATACATATTCATATCCGCTTGCGTGACTGCGTGTTATTGTTACTGTTATTATTATTATTATTATACGAACGCGCGGTTCTTGGCGAAGAAATCGCAGGTCGCGCGGGTGCGCGCGAATGCTCGAGTCCCGCCCGGCCAACTTTTATTTTCTACGTCGTTAAGATTTTTAATGCGATTATCCGTCGTATCCGGGATATACGGAGTCGGCTTCGTCGTAAAAGTCCCGCGCGGAGAGAAGCGCACGTCGCAGAGCCAGCCGGCGAAGTCGCGACTGCGGAAAGCTGGAAGAGCCTTTTCTCTCGTCGGTTGACTGGCTGGCTTTACGCCGGCGATAAATTTTTATTCTTACCGTCGTTGCAATTTTCGACGTGGCTACGTCGCGGCCGCTATCATCGCGCCGCCGATTCGATGTAACCGTTCGAGTGAAGAGGAAACGTACGCTCCTCTCGGTGCGGAAGCATTGCGGGGAGGATACACTTCGCGCCCGGAGGGTGCGATGCTTTTGTGCCTTCGTACGACGGAGTAACAGTAAATTCGTTTCAGTATTGAATTCATTTGCGGCGCTTGTCTAAAGTAGTTGCGCAAGCGCGAAACAACGAGGCATTCTCTCGAACATAACAAAGGCAGTTAATTACATTCAGAGGATACTGTATTAATTCTTCTGTATACGAAGTGTACACGATCTGTCGGCTCATTGATTGTAATTTCTTTTGCCGCTGTCGTCCCTCTCACCTCTACCGTCGAGTACAAGAAAATCGATTTTGATTAACTAATGATTAATTAAGTAGTGTATCTCCAGAAATTTTTGCGATCAAATAGTAGATTTCTTTTGATTTAATTAAGCTATTGTAATTTCTTCAACACGTAGCAAATACAAGTGAGATATATTTTCTATTCTATTTTTTTAATTCTTCAAAGATGATTCAACACATTCAACGTCAATATCGATGAAGAAAAAAGCAATCTAGATGTTTATTTAGAAAAAGAAATGGGCGTAGTTATTTTTAAATCGCCTGAAAAGATTAGACTAAGGAGCGCTTTCAAGTTTTGTATTGACAAGCTGAGATAATCGACGATAAGATAACAGTCACAATTATTTTTGAGATTCGAATTTCAGTTCAAACTTAGTTTATTAGTGAAAAGTACATGTTACAATGAGGAGACACACATGGAAAAAATTGTATTATATTCTTTAGTTCTTTCACAATTATATTCCAATTACATTCACAAACATTCTTAATGTTTAAGAAAAAAAATTTAGGATATCGGATGCTTTGCCGACTCTTTAGATTTGTAAAACTATTAGAGAGAGAGTAGGTTGTGCTACGTTTTTTACAATATTATTCTATGTAGACTTAAACAATGTGTGAATATAGATATTATTAATACAAAATTGAATATTGTATAACTCGTTATACGAACGCGTAACATTTGCAGGCCTATAATTGAGACCTAGGCGTGACAATTTTCTGATTATTTTGTTACAATTTTAAAATTCAAAATAAAATAGTTTTGTTTTGAAACTATAAGTTGCTTATACCAACAGTTCGTTTGAACATTTGATCGATAAATTGATGTAAATGGTAGAAAGTCACTTTGATCTTAGATAATCCATATTTAGGAGCGTTACTTTCTTTGCAACGGATGCAGAATGCAAGATTGAACACATCGAGAAGATGGTGCAATCTAGTTTTTAGGTATAAGCAACTAACATCACAGTCTCAAAACAAAACTATTTGATTTTGAAGTAGTTTATTCTAAATTATAACAAAATAATCAGAAAATTGTTATGCCTAAGTCCCAATTATAAGCCTGCAAATGTCACGCGTTCGTGTAATGGGTTATGCAACATTCAATTTTGTATTAATAATGTCTATATTCACACATTGTTTAAGTCTACATGGAATAACATTGTAAAAACACTAGCAGTCTGTGCCGCGCGACTTTAAGATTAAAAGCTTAGATTGATGGAAATTCAATTGCGAGTGAAAGAATTTCATTCACGTGATCCGCCCACTTACATCTGGGACAAGTCGTTGTCAGATGGAGCTTACGATTCCGTTAGGCGACTATTCGCGCGCCGCTTACGGACGGTATCTCGGCTTCCAGGACCGGTATTGTCAAGGCGCCCTCGGCGCGAAATCTCCGCCGGTCCCTCCTACGTGCTCGAAAGCGGCGTTTGCATAAGTCCACGGGGAACAACGGAGCATTGGGTCAGTGTATTATGGGATATCTATTACTTCGGCGACCACTTCGGCGAGCTTTCTGCGAGCGCGATACTTGGGGATGAGTTATTGCCTCGCGGCTCTTTATTAAAGACTAATACGAGAACGGCGGTCGGGCACGGGTGACTCCGTTACTCCGTATCCCGGGAATCCCTTAATCTGCGCGATCTATTATCCCGCGCCCGGGTACACCGGGGTGAGAATTAGCTCTCTGCCGTTCCCTCGTACGAAGCGCGGGCCCGTAGTTGAATTATTGCCAGGCATATCTGAGGCCGGGAGTGGGCTACCGTCACCGCCGCGCTGCCGTCGTAAAGCCGGCGCCCGAATGTTTCGCTGATAATGCGATTCCATGGTGAAATTACTCGCGGCGTAACAGCAAGATCGGCGGAGGCTCGCGGTGGGACGGCGAGAAGCGGCTGTGATTTCGCGGGGATGGAGAATGTCAGTGTCGGGGAAAGAGAAAAGAAAAAAAAAAGAAGAGGGAATGACGGGGTGGCGCGGGGATGAATAGGGAAGGAAATGCCGCAGCGGGGAAACGGAGAAAGGAAACTGAAGGAATCTTCGCGTTATCTCGAGCGTGTCACGCGGTGCCGTGAGGAAAAAAATCTTCCTTCCTTTCCTCCTCCTTTTCTCCTTACTTTCTCTATATCTCTCTCTCTCTCTCTCTCTCTCTCTCTCTCTCTCTCTCTTGTTCTTTTAACTCCTCTCCGTTCTTCTCCCTTTCTCTTCGCCGAGGAGTAGCTACTATGAACGCGCTAGCTATGAATTATGCATGAGAAGAGACGTAAAACTTTATGACGTATATATACGGTCCGCGCCCGGTGGCGTAAAGCGTCACGCGGAGATCCACGAATCTATTATACGCTTTTTAATTAGACGCTGCCGAATCTGACGGACGAGTCGGTGTACAGCCGGGGAACCCTCCTCGTCATTCGCCGAGGAAAGCCTCTTATCGTACCGCTGTGGGAGAAGCGGGATATACGCGAGATAGTACGAAATTACGCATGCGTTTGTGTATCTTGATCAATGTGTTATGCTAGGATGATACCAGCCGTGTTATAATTAATGGCGCACGCGCGCAATTGTATTTCTAACAATTAAATTTCTGACCGATGATTCTCGAGTCGATATTGTAATCTTACTTTCGACATGAACTTCCTAGAAATATGTATATTATGAAGGATCAACGTGTGTTTGGTATACATGAAAACAAAAGCTCTACTTAGCACGCTCAAACGGAAGAAAATGCACGACATGCTATTTGCAGGTTCCAAAGACGATCTCTCGATAGTAGTTTAAATAGAATCAAAAGAAGAAAGAGAGTTGATATTCAGGGTACCAAAGTAAATATTAAATGGAATATTAAGATCGAAATTCTGACTTGGGTTGTCTTTCTTTTTGGACGATCGCTCCGATAAAAAGAAGGAAAGATCGGAAGAGACAACATGCAAAGACAGGGACATTCTGATACAATGTAAAAACTTTATTACCAGCTTCAAAATATGCGCAAACCTTAAGAACATAGTGTAATTGTTATTTCTGTTGGTGCACGAACAATTTATATGTCGAGAAAGACGCGGAAGGATGGTAGCGCTACGTCGTTCAGCGAACGTGCTGAAGGTGTTATTGGCGAGTGGCGCCGCGACGCCTGCGACGTGTCTTCACCCCCCTCGGATTAGTCCATACAGCTCAGCCAGGTGCAAAACAACGCGTTAAGACGAACGAGAAGGAAAAGCGAGACGGGGTGAGTAGACCGCGAAATAGACGGAGCTGTGGGCTATTTACGGGCTCGGAAAGTGGCCGACGAGTACCTTTTCGCACGCTGATGAATGGCCCCAGTCGCCGCCGTGTTTTATGGGAGGTAAGCAATCGGCGGCAGCGGAGTTATTGTTATTGAGACGAGGAGAAGCAGCGATGCCACGACCGACGTCGCCTCGAATCTCACCGTGTGACGTTCACTTGCTGATGATCTACTCGACTCGCTGCAACGCACGTGGCTGAAATGACAATTGTTCAGCTAGAAGGATGAACAAGTCCGCGTGATCACAAATTTACGCGCTATCATACCTCGCGGAAACACGCGGCAACGGAAGAGAACTGTCCGCATGTAAACGCGAATTGTACACGCCAGACTGTTCTAATTTGTAACGTGATTTGTATCGATATTAATTAGCGCGATAGTGCTCGCATTCAATTGCGAAGCGTGCTTACCATGATGACAACTTCAAGCTGGATTACAAGTAAAGTCGCCTGGCGATTTGAGAAAACAGGAGCCGGAGCACACAGTGAATGGTATCGGTGTGTAACGCGTGAGCGAACGGCGAGGATCCGAGCAAGCGCAACCCTTACGTCGTCATGGTGCAACCGCCGTTGCTAGGTGGTGTTTGTAACGAGGGCCGCACCCATTGTGGCCCTCACGAGATATGTATAATCCTCATTCAGATAAGCGCGCCTTGCTTCACTCGAGGACCGAAAATCTCTCGGTTGAACACCTGTAATCAAATATAATGCTCTGATAAGACATCACATAGTATCAATCGATGAGATAAAAATGCAGGGTGTCTGACAGTTCACGATACCCTGACCTGACTTGTGTGTAAGTAGAACTCGTCAAACTGAACACAAAATTTTTTTACTATTTCGCAAATAATCACGTACGATTTTGAGTTAGTAATTGAAGAAGTGAATGATTACACCCGGTAGACGGGCTGTCACGATGTTTGCCGTTGTGTGTTTCTACGTTCGATAAAATTAAACAAAAGAGTCTTCTACTATTTTGCAAATGACCACGTAAAGTTTTAGTTATTAATTAAAGAAGCATTTGTTGCATTATCGCGCATAATTATGCGTCAATCTTCTTTAAATGATGCATTCTTTACTATTTCTCATTTGGAGAATTCTTTTCATAGACATTACATTTTTTTCATATAATTATGTAAAACAGATTTGAGGTAAAACAGACTTGTATGCGGATATACAAAGAAAAATGCCATTGTTATACACATATGACGTTGGTAGCAACATGTTATGAAAATTTTGAGTAAGAATGAACTTGAAGCTGGAGATTGGTGTGTCACATGTGTGTGATGTTGATAGCGAATTAATAACTAAAATTTTGCGTGATTATTTGTGAAATGATAGAGGACTTTTTTGATTTTTCAATTTGTACAAATATAGGACGTCATCATCACAGCTCATCTACTGTATCGCGCGTGATTATTCGTCAATCTTCTTTGATTAATAATTCAAAATTTTACGTGGTTGTTTGCGAAATGATAGAGGAATTTTGTGTCTTCAGTTTCTCAGGAGTTCTACTTGTGCACAACAGGTGTGTCATGAATTGTCAGGCACTCTGACAATATATCCGATAATTCTTTATGAATAATAGAAAGCACGACAGCCGAACAGCAGGAAGCGAGTAGCAGAAATGTTAGAAGTGACTTTTAATTAAATGTCACGTGTATTTTTTTATGATGCAACATCTATTTTTCACGTCGTCATCTCGTTCTGCAAACGATCTTATCGTTCTCGATAGCCGTTTCACTATTGTCCATTGCGTTTGATAATAATCGACACTCTCCTTCTCCAACGACGCCAACGTTTACACCTTGGCTGTACATAAATTAGATAACACGTTTCAATGCATAATTCATGCAGCCAGTAGCAACGAGAAAATAGGCGTGTCTATTTCTGCATCAATTCTTCAGGTGAATGCAATCCCGATCCTCTCTTTCGTATGATGTCGTATGTATATTCATTGAAGGCACGAGGCGTACTATTTTTATAGTCGTTCGCACTCGATCGAGGTACGGGCGCAGTCTCGGCTTCTTCCCTTTTTCGCTTCAGCGTAACATGACGAGAATTCGCAAGAACGGGAGAAGGTAAAAGGTCGTTTGATGAGCCAATAGAGATATCAAAGGCAGACGTAACAGAAACAGCAAGTGCGGAGAAGAAGCAGAAGAGAAAGACGCGCGCCAGACATCGTGATGAAACGCCATCGGAAGTTGTACGATTTCGTCACGATAGAAGCGCATGATAACCGCGACGAATCTGCTCGAGATGGATCCAGAGGAGCTCTTCACAGAGAATCCTCACAGCCACTACGAGGAAAGTTTTCGGAAGAGCGAAAAGTAGTCTATTCTGGCGGGTAATCGACCTGCGAATGTGATGAATCAGTCACTATCAAGGGTCGAGGAAAGAGTTATCAGTCTGGGAAAGGACGCGCGCGCAAAGAGACGGGGAGAAGATCGCGTGAATGGAGGATACAGTCGTGCAGAAACCAGCTATGTCAGCAGCACGAGCTGGCTCCTGTGGTTCTGCGGCTTTTGCCGCAAACGACGCTATCGGCGCGTTTTAAGAAGGATAGCGGCGAAAAGTCCGCGCCTTCGAATAATATCCGAATATTGAGGCACTGTGCGAGGACTGTCGCGCTCGTAAAGCAGGACTGATATGAATGCGGATGGCTCAATTTTACACGTTCACACACATACACATACCCGAAGCAAGCTTTCTTCTCTTTTCCTCCCGACTCCCTCTTTCCCCCTCCGTTCCTCTCATCGTCTATCATACATCATTCTCATCGATCGCATTTATCAAGCGCTATATGGTGCCGCGAAGGGCTACAGAACAGTCTCTGTATTATATTGTGTATATTTTTTGTGCAAACTTAACAGTCGAATTTCATGTAAGACGAGCGCGCTTTCGTACACTGAAAATTTGAAAGTTATAATTGAAGATGTAATAAGGAAGTATTTTACTTAGGTACATGTGTTTTATTTTTATGATGTACAGATTTAATTTCGTAATTGACATCCACGCGAGTGACTCTTGAAGGCCTTATTTCTCATACTTTATTTGCAATTTATTTCATGTATTTTATATACTTTTTTCATAATTTTCTGAGCGCTATCTTTACAATACGCAAAATAGCTTTGCGTATTACACAATTATGTATTAGATATTTGGGTTCATTGCGTTTATGTGGTGTCCGCGAAATAAAGACGGAAGCCAAAATTTCTTTTCTCTTGATGCCCCAACGTGAGCTTCATTAAAGCTAACGTAATGACATTTTTTATATACTTTAGGGACGTACGCTTGAAAGCTTCCATTTCAAAGAGAGCGTACAGAAATGTCTGATTCCGAGGGTAGCGTGGTGAGCCTGCACGTCTCGGAAAAATCAGTAACGTGCGACGAAACCGTCGAGGCGATGCCGACTCAACGGAATCAGAATGGCGACAAGCTCGAGGAATTCCAGGAACTGCTCCAATCGATGATAGTCTCCCGCAGCCCTTCCGAGGAGGAGGAACAGGTAGAGGAAGACGACAATGCGAACGAAAGAAGTATCGTAGGTAGGCCATCGTATTTGCCAGTTGTACTGACATATAAACGCCACTGTTCGCGTTGTTCGCGTCGAGATAAGTAATGTCGGGGTCGCGTTGCGAAATGTAAATTTCCGTCACAACATATGTGAGATTTTATGTGTTTCGCTTGTGTGATTTCGTATGCTTTTACAGCGCAGTCGTTCCTCCGTCTCCTTTTAGCTCGGACATTCTGCAGAAAGACACCACCCTGTTTCGCTCTCCTCTCGATATTCTTTCCCAAAATCAAACATACAGTTCCAGAATAACGTCCGAGATTATTTGTCGTGTCTGACAATTCGACGGGCACTTTCGGGTGTACTGCGCGTGTTCATGCACCGTCGCGAAAAGAGAAGAACGAAAAGGCAGAAGAAAGGGCAGCGCGTCTCGGCTGATACGTCTCGTTCTTCGGATCGTTTCCGAAACTCCCGGCCGCTTTTGAACGACGTGACGTCAAGGATGAAGCGGCGGGGATGAAGTTGCCGCGCCGTGGCACTCAGGTAACCTGTTGAGAGATCCTGGAGTGGGCGAAAATGGAGAGCTTGCTGCAGCTTAACTTGGAGAATTTCCCAGACACTCGCCGAGGGCATTACTAGGGAAAGTGGCTGAACGTCGGTAGACGGCGCGAAGGAAATTTCCCCGGCCTCGGGGATTAAGTTCCGCCGCTCGAATCGTCCCGTCGCCCTCCCGTCCCGCCGGTTTTTATTTTTATTCCGCGCTCTCGTGACGAGCGCAGATGCTGACTGGAAGTTTAGCGAGTCCCCTCGCATCCCCGCGAGTTTCGAGTAAATTAGCAATTCCTCTCTGTAATTTCGTGCTCCGTTTTATTCCCGGCACGCCGCGATATGACCGGCTTTCTTCTTTTTTTCGGCTTGACGGGCGCAACTCACTCGCGTGAGGGACAAGGGGGAGGGAGAGGAGAGAGGAAATCTCGTTCATTACGCGCGCGGGTGGAAAGACAAAGGAAAGTAGCGCGCGATCGCTCCTCCACTTCTCTTATTCGCTTCTCGTCGCGGGCGCGCCAAGTCGCGTTAATTATTTTAATTGCAATCGGCTGAGAGGAGAGAGAGACAGAGAGGGACTAACGCGCATAATCCAATATCCGAACCGCGGATCGGCAAGCTGTTACCGATTCCACGACCGCGCCGCGGCCATCTTGGCCGTCTACAAAGCGTCCTAAATGTCTCGGTAAATTTGGTCGGAACCGAAACCCATACGCGACGGAGAGAGAAACCGTCTGCGTCCCAAATTAAACTCATAAAACGCCCGCAACGCCCGCGGCCGCTTAAAGGTAGATCCACAAGGGTAGATTAAGATCGAGCCATCTGCGTACCAAAAGAAGAAACAACGCGGAGCCGTCGGCATTTTAAAACCAACCCCCGTGCGCGCGCGCTCTTCCGTCGCCTACGGAAATAATTACCGGTATCTTCTCGGGGGAGATGATGAAGAGAGGAGAAGAAAACTCGGGGGTTTGTTTATCCGGCTTTTCTCACGGGAAGAAAACTCAAATATCGTCGATCGCGCGTACTCACGACGACACAGCGTTCGAGGGAGAAACCTCCGGCGATCGTGATGGCGGTCACTGATTTTTGCAGATCGGCGAAGAAGTCCTGTGCTGATCGCGATCGGGATTGCGCGACGCAATCTGTGATGACCTCGCTGTGAAGTACGAGATTCACTGTGAATGTACCTTGCTGCTCGTCCTGGTCGTTGCAGCGACACGCGTTTCGCGGTGCCACATCCTTCGTACACGTACACACGTGTAGACACGCACGGTCGAGGGTAGAACAGGTGGTAGGAGGCACACGGGGACATGATTAAAATAATAAATTACGGAGGTACGAGTAGACGTTTTAGCCGAAATTAGTATTGCATCGGGCACGACGTCGCACGACGGCGTTCCCAGACTCTGCGGAGGACGATACTTTGAATTATAAATATCGGCGCAAACGCTGGTTCCTACGGCGTACGTACGTCATTCGTAAGGAGACTTCCAAACAGGGACAGAGGGACAGACAGAGAGAGAGAGAGAGAGAGAGAGAGAGAGAGAGAGAGAGAGAGAGAGAGAGAGAGAGAGAGAG